GAATAATCTCCCTCAAAAGCAAAAACTTTTTATTAATCAATAATCAACTGAATACAAAAGGAAATCTTAATAGGCTATTTATAAGAACACCTAAAAAACCCTAGAAATCTCTGGAATATTTTAGAAACCTTAAAAAATAAACATTAAAAATATTAATATATTAGAAATACAAATAAACGGAAGTAATTCAATTATGCGCTGCATCACTTGTAAACCACTCAAATGTTAAACTCATAGACTAACATCATGACACCTGAAAGAACTCTTTATTTGGTGAACGAGAAATTGTGGCTGGACCCCTTTCATTGCAATGTATTTGATCCATTTTTTATTTTTTACTTAGTGTGAAATAGTAGACCATAGTATCACTTAAAGAATAGTTTGTCTTTATGAGAGATCAACCTTTTCTTTTCGTATGATATTAAAGGGGGAAAAAAGTTTTGAAACTTCCACGTTCTTCTACTTTATCGTCTAAAAAGTTTTGTGGATTAATTTGTCAATATGAATTTTGGTTTCCCACTTATATTTCATCATGAAACACAACTTGGAACTTGTCTTTTGGAAGTCACGTCGGCAAGATCAAACCCACTTGAGCGTCGCGGGTAAAGGTTTTTCTTTCTCAACCATCTTCGATTGGGTATATGCATGATATAGTTCCTACTTACCAATCTAAGATAGTACTTAACATTTCCAAAGTTTAGTCAAATTTATTTAGCAAAACAAACAGCTTAAGTAATTCAAATCTACTTTAGTTTGTAATGAATCGAAACACCTAATGGTAATTTTGTATATTTGTCGTATGCGAATCGCGACCTAGTTGACGGGTCCAACAACGTTACAAATGGCCGACACAGAAATGGGAAAGCTGATTCAGAGTTTTCAAATATTGCTACTTGCTAATTATTATTACTAGGGATTGACCCGCGCGTTGCGCGGGTGTTGTTGCATTTGTTTTTTTTTTGATGTTATTTAGTTATGAGTTGGTTAAAGTACCAATATATAACTCCATTTTTATTTGATATGGTATGTTTTCTTGTTATGGACATTCGAGATGTTTGTAATTGGTGGATTTTGTTGTAGTTATTTTCATATGTTTTTCAGTTGTAAAGAAAATTCTGGGAATGGATGTCACCCAGATTTTGGGGGGTGTTGATATTTTTTTCCGTAGATATGTTTACCATTTTTAAGGTTGTTTGGAATTTACCGGTTTAAAAGTGTGTATGTTAATATGTTAATTTCAGAGATGGTTTACTGTTTGAGGTAGGGGTGGGCATTCGGTTTTTTGGTTTGGGTCGG